CCCTTCCCTTCCCTTCCCTTCCCTTCCCTTCCCTTCCCTTCCCTTCCTTCCTTCCTTCCTTCCTTCCTTTCTTTCTTTCTTTCTTTCTTTCTTTCTTTCCTTTCTTTCTTTCTTTCTTTCTTTCTTTCTTTCTTTTTTTCTTTCTTTCTTTCTTTCTTTCTTTCTTTCTTTCTTTCTTTCTTTTCTTTCTTTCTTTCTTTCTTTCTTTCTTTCTTTCTTTCTTTCTTTCTTTCTTTCTTCTCTCTCTCTCTCTCTCTCTCTCTCTCTTTCTCTTTAAGCTTCTCTTTCTCTGTCTTTCTCTCCGCAGGATCGCTGTGAGCGCGCCGTCCAAAGCACACTAGCGCTCTCTCTCTCTCTCTCTCTCTCTGTCTCTCTCTCTCTTGCTCATTCTCTTTAAGAGGACAAGGCCCAGCCACAGAGCCCAGCCACAGAGTTCAGGGGCGCGGCCAAGAGGAGGACAAGAGGAGGACAAAGCCCAGCCACAGAGTTGACAGAGTTCAGGGCGCGGCCAAGAGAAGGACACAGAGCCCGGCGAGGCCAAGAGGAGGACAAGAGGAGAACAACGCCTGGACACAGAGCCCAGCCACAGAGTTGACAGAGTTCAGGGACGCGGCCAAGAGGAGGACAAGAGGAGGACAAGGCCCAGCCACAGAGCCCAGCCACAGAGTTCAGGGGCGCGGCCAGTGAGTTTGGCCAGCTCTTTTCTTTCTAAGATAGAACCCCAACAGTAAACTGTTTGGGGAAAAATAGTCAACCGTAAGTCCGTAGTGTTCACCTTCATGTGCTTCATTAAACAAGACCAACCAACCAACCAACCAACCATACATTGATACATACATTCCCTGCCCTGCACTGCCCTTTGAACATACCATACCATACAACACCATACCATACATACATACATACATGGCTCAAGCCACGAGCGGTCCAAGCAGGCAGCCCCTCAAGTCCTGCTAGTGAGGAATCCCACGCGAACATAGCGGGGACATTGCCAACAAGGCGATCAAAGAGGCCTTCGTGTACAACACACTCTTTGCTAGTGATCTTGCTCTTCAACTTGGATTTCCTTGTTGAGTTCTTCGGCACCTGGCAGTTCTCGCCTAGCCACTCCTCATTGGCCTCCAGCACAAGCCCGTCTTTATCACCAACGGCTTTCGGGACAACCTGTTCTACAGCTTTGCCCGTTATCCCTACAAGATAAAGAACCTTCCAGGCCAGATCGTGACCGACGACAGTCAGACACACTGCACCAATTGGATCTGGGATGACAAGAAAAACCCAGGCGCTAGATGCAGAAGGTGTGGCACCTGGTGGCACCAAGGCCAGACCCCGACCGGCAAGGGTAAGGGACAAGGCCATGGACAAGGAAAGAAGAGCTATGGCAACGCCACATGGCCCAAGCGCTCTACCCAAGACGATCTACTGGAGCATCCACCGGGTTTGAATCAACTCAAACCTTTGAAGAAGAACAAGAACCAGCAATCGGCTGCTGAACTCTTGGCCACTACTTGGGATGTCATTCCTAACGAGATCCAGGGCAAGCTTGCGGCTCTTGGGCTTGGCCCACCCACTCCAGCTGAACCGGGCCTCACAGAAATCTTGCAGACCCATTTGAATGCACTTCCACAACCAGTGCAAGATATCGTCAACAAGCTCAGTCAGCCCATACCAGCCACTGAGAAAGACCTGGCGCAGAAGCTCAAAACTCAAGTCACTGAGCTCAAGACCATCTCGATGAGGAAGGCACAGCTGCAAGTCAAGCTGGATCAGACCAAAAGCCAATATGCTGCAATGCTTCAAGACATGCAGGAGCACCAAACACGGCTCAATGAGGGGCAACAAAAACTCAAAACCCTGTCCGAGCAATACATGCAGGCTGTCAACAAGACTCCACTGCCGGATGCCCTAGCCTCACCAGAGGATGCGGAGCTTCCAATCCCTATGGCAGTTGAGACCTTTGTCAACAGCTTAGGAGTCACCCTGACAGAAGATCAGCGCTCGCAACTCCAGGGCCTTCTGAAGAGACCAGGCCAGGAAGCAGAGGATGCCAGCAAGCGCAGGAAAACTAAGGGCTCGAGGCGCCGGTACCCCTTGATGAATTTGAAACGGCATCAACACCAAATTCGGTTTGCCGCGCTGCCTCAAGCACAGCACAGGCATGGGGACCGCAAGTGACACACTGCGCAGGGGACAAGACACAGACTCATTTGCAACTTCAATTTCAAGACCTTACCAGTTCCAGGGCACCCTCAATCAAGAGTGAAGGGGAACACACTCTTGACCTAGAGGCAAATCACTACACCACTCAGGTGAACATGTTTGACCTGTTTGCCACTGACACGGGCGCTGATGGACCTTTGTTAGGTGCACCAGGGCCAGAAGTCATCAAGATCCACGGAGGAGGGGCACAAAAGCCTCACAGAAAGTCGAGCCGACCAAAGGTGACCATGCAAGGAACCTATGCCTCCACCACGGAGTGTATCTTGCAAAACCTCACCATGAAGGTTGGCAACCCCAGCGCACCTTGGCGGGCATTCACCTGGACGTGTGCTCTTTTGCAAGAGACCAACACCCAACCTTGGGGAAACCTCCAACCAGCAGTACAAGAGTCACTCGAGTTGGCAGAGGCTGTGGACCTGCTCCAGCTTCCAGGCCTTCACCCACTCTGGAAGAAACATGATCTCAACGTTCAGGGTGATGCAAATCATTTTGTGAACACTCTGGAACCTCTCACAGACAAGAGCATTCCATTACCGGTTTGCAGAAATCCAAGAGGGCTACCTGAAGGACCACATCCAACAGCCCATACTGGTGGACTTTCCAGATGACTGGCCGGACAACTCCAGCTTCCAGGACCTGTACAATGGATGGGCCAATCAAGGGGTGGGACAATTCTTGCTAGACGACAAACCCGTGCTTATCACACATGTCACACGCAACACCTGTGTGGAGGGCATCATGACCAAACATGGCAAGATCCTCAACCCCTATGGCACGTTCAGAGTCCCGAGATCGCTCGATGGCTTTCCAAGATCCTCTGCAGAGTTCGTGCCAGCCGCCCTCATCTGCCACAGAGGGACCAGCCACGACAATGGCCACTACTTTGCCATCCTCATCTATCGTGATTTGATGTGGTTGGCTGACGATGGCAAACCGCCAATCCATTTGGACCACCTCACACCACA